CTGTCCATACACAGGAAGTCCAGGAATGTTCTAGTGACCTGAGCAACCATCCTTACACGACCAAGATGAAAGAAGATGGTAATGAAGCAGGAAGAAATGCAGAGGGGGGCGGAGAGCAAGCTAGAGGTCTGCTGACAAAACATGGGTGTCAGTGATGCTAGAACTTGGGGCTTATCAAGAGAAGCAGGACATGTGCAATAACATGGAACTCCTGGAAGTTACTGCAGGCTTCCAAACAGTAAGATTCATTTGCAACCCACTAAAGGGAGAGATATGTCTATTTAGTAAAAAAAAAAAAACAAAAAACTGCAGCATGCCATACACCTCCCTGCTTTCAGAGTTAGCAGACAAAAGGGGATGGAGAAGCCTGAGGAGGGCAGACTCCATCCTGAAGTTGATGTCTGCATCCACCCCAGTGCTGAAGCTGCACACACAGACAGGTGGGGCCTGAGGAACCTGGAGGATAAAGGTACCTTTGGGACATATGGTAAGAAGGGCCTGATTCATCCATGTTGGGTTCACTGAGTTTTCTGCATCTGTGTCTTGGTATTTTTTCATTAGTGTAGAAAACTCTCTGCTGTTATATCTTCAAACAATGCCCCCCTCCCAATATCATTCTTCTCTTTCTAGAACTTAAAAAAACATGCTAAGCCTCCTGTCTTTCCTATTTTATGTCTTGTTTCTGTGACATCTGAATTTTAGCTGTGCCTATTTTTTTTCTCTTTCCATCCGTGTCTCTACTCTGTTATTATAAACCTGTACGCATTTATTTATTTATTTGTTTGTTTGTTTGTTTGTATGTTTGCTTTGGATTTTAGAGACAGGGTTTTTCTGTGTAGCCCTGGCTGTTCTGGAACTTGCTCTGTAGGCCAGGCTATCCTAGAACACATAGAGATCCACATGCGGGTTGGGGATTTAGCTCAGTGGTAGAGTGCTTGCTTAGCAAGCGCAAGGCCCTGGGTTTGATCATCAGCTCAAAAAAAAAAAAAAAAAAAAGGGATCCACATGCCTCTGCCTCTCAAGTGCTAGGTTTAAAGGCATGCACCACCATGCCCGGCCTCCCTAACTAGTTTTAAAAAACAAATTTCAGCCTTATATTTTGATTTAATTTCTACTTTATATTTGCTGGCTCTGACTTTAGAGTTTCTTGTTCAGGTGTTTTCAAACTTAGTTTTGTAAATACTAAACAAAGCTCTGTGTTGTTTGACCTGTGCCTGAAAACTACATGAAATCTTCACCGGTCTGTTCTGTAACCATTACCTCATCATTTCTGTTTCTATATGGGTATCTTTGTTTTTGAAGGATGAAGGTGCTTCTTGAAGGATGAAGGTGCTTTCTTCCTAACAGAATTGGCATCTGCTTCTGTCAGGCAAGGGGTGTGTCTCCTCTGGGAGCCACTTTAACTAACTACCCAAGGGAAGCTCACTTTTGCTCAGCCTCCAACAACATCCACAGCTTAGCACACCTCCCATCTTGTCCATCTTACTTCTTAGAGTTTTGTGATTCCACCACCTGCAGCTTCTGGAAGATCTCAGGAGGCAGGAAAGGGGAGAGTTTCCCTCCTTCGTCCGAACACACTCGGCGGTGTCGGCTGGTGGGCAAGGGGATGGGAGGAGCCACAGGTACAGCGGGCTTCAAGCATATTTTCCCTGCAAGCCACGGACAGCACCCTGGTCAGCAGGCTAGGGATCATCCCACAAAGCAGGTACCAAGAGCCCCCTTCTTTGGGTACCCACCAAGTTTGGTAGCTGTTGACTGGGCCCGTTCCAGACACTGTTCAGCCAGCTTCAGCATCTTTGAGGTCTCAGGGGGCACAGTTTCCCCAGCTTCTAGGGAAGGAACATGGGGGGTGGGTTACAGTCCTTCCACCAAGACTCACATTCTTACTAAGAACAAGGAACTGTAAGTCAGGCAAGCTTGCTCTTAGTCTTTTCACCATGGCTCAAAACAATGTACACACATGACGGGTGGCCAAGCATCGGACTGACTCTTGCCATGGAGCCCTCCTGGCTACTGCACAGAGACACGGGCGCTACAGACTCTCCGGGCCGCCACCTCCTCGCTGCCTGCACCACGGACTTGCCCCTGCAAGCGCTGCCGCGAGGACTTCCACCCCTGACCACACACACACACACACACACACACACACACACACACACATACACACACACAGCTGTCTGTGCTGCTCTCCGCTCTCCGCGGGCCTGCTTATATCAGCAGACACATCTTCTCCTCGTACTTTGCCGAGTCGTCCACCCAGCTCCTGGACCCACTCTCCTGTTCCCCCTTACAGCAAACCCCTCATAAACACCATCTTCTCTTCATTCCACCTCCATTTAGCATCCAAATTCCCCTACACTGTCCCTGCCCAGCCCTGCTTTTCCAAAGATGGCAAGTCATTCCGATTTTTTCTATCCTCTGGGATATTACTTCCCATAGCACGGTTCCTCCTGCTGGTCCTGACCCCTCTGCCCTGAGCTCGGTGACAATCTTTGAGGCGTCAGGACTCAGCTGAGCTTACTTCTTGCTCCCTATTAGCTCTCCCTAACTATGTTCCTATGTCCAGAGAGTTGCTCCTATCTCAGAAACATTTATATGTTTACAGTGGGATTCTCTAATTTTTTAAAAATTCGAGACAGGGTCTCATGTAGCCCAGGCTGGCCTCAAACTCACTATGTAGCTGAGGATGTTCTTGAACATTTTTTTTTTTTGAGACAGAGTTTCTCTGTGTAGCTTTGGAGCCTGTCCTGGAACTCACTCTGTAGACCACGCTGGTCTTGAACTCACAGAGATCTGCCTGCCTCTGTCTCCCAAGCATTGGGATTAAACGCATGCAACACCACCGCCCGGTGATCTTGAACTTTTGATTCTCCTAAATGCTAAGATTTCAGACTTTTGCTATCACATTAGTTTATGCAGTGCCAGGGACCAAATCCGGGGCTTTATGTATGCTAGGAAAGCACTCTCTACCAACTGAACTACATCCCTAGCCCCACAGTGGAGTTCACAATTTCTCTCCTTACACACAGAGTTGTCCATCATCTGCTTGCAACATCCTCTGATGCTAGCAACTCACCATCAACGCTAGCAGGTCTGCTTGGTTTCTGCTTCAAGATACATCCAAAGTCTTTGCTCCTCCCAATGCTGGGTGGAGCTTTGGCAGGTTCCCAAAATTCCTTTCTAATTCTACCCAAGATGTACAAAGCACAGCTATAACTACTTCCTCCTCTCGGCCTTTAAATATCCTTGCTGGCAAGGCCTCACTTTTGTGCAGCTCACTCTTCACTGCCTTGAGGCAGCATCTTGATCCAATCTATGACCTATCCCCCTAGCCCATAATACTGCCCTTCAATGCCACCATGCTACATTATGATATTCTATACTAATGATAATGACCTCCAGCTTTGGGGACCATCAAATTTGGGGTCCACAAATTGGCCATCCTGAGAGAAGAAGCAAGTCTGAAGGCATACCTGTAGTGTGTTCCACATCTTCCAGTAACGCCTGGGAGATGTAGTGAATGCTCCTCAGGTATTCCATGTATGCCTCCTGTGTGCAGGGAAGAGAATGGCAGGGGTCAGGCCAGTAGATGGAAGTGCCTACATCATGCCTGCCAAGTGGATGTGGAAAACACAGGATCAACAGCGTCTGCTCATTTCTGAGAGACTTCTAGACTTCAGTGATGGTCCATCTAGGACAGGGGCTATCCCCACCGTCTAGACTTGAAGGAAAAAGTGTTTGCCTGTGAGAACAAAATCAGGGAAATTCTTCCCACTTTTGCACTAGGGAGTTCCCAGCTGGACACATCCCTCCGTTCACTGCCTTACTCTCCAGCAAGTGAAGGAGCTGCGCTTCTGTCAGGAGGCTTGGTAAGGCAGCCTCAGCAGTGACACCATTTCCCACTCTGTATAACAAAATCTCCTTCCTGTGCAACTCAAAGATCAGCAGTTTTTCCGTGTCTTGTGAAAAATACTTCCTGAAAGTCTAAAGAGAGAATAAGGGCTCATTTCTCAATCTCACTTTCTGGCACAGAGGAGAGCATCTCGTTGCAGGTTTCAACTGTGTGACCCCTCTGCCCTGAGCTCCGTGACAGCTCGGGACAGAATGCACTCTGGAATGTATGTGTTTTATTTTATCTATTGTCAAATTACCCAACTTTAATGAACACTTCAGAGATTAAGGATCAAATGGATTTCAGGTAGGATTTTCGTCTTGGGAGGAGAACCTGATGTCCTAGAAAACCAACTCGAGGAACTGGACAAACACTGATTCTTCCTCTCTGAGGGTAGCTCGGGGTGGCCTGGCCGGCTCTTCCACCTAGTTGCCATCCTTTTAATTAGCATTCATCCTCAGTGACAGGCCACACCCCTTCTGTGCCCGTGTTTCTTTACAAATGACCTTTGAAGGCAACTGCAAACAGCAGCATCATGAAAGAGCCGACAGCCAGTCTCTTCTGGATTAAGTCTGCACAGTGTCAAGAATACAGACACAGACACAGACACACACACACACGTCTGTCATCTACATCTTGGAGGGCTGCTTCAGAGGTCCTTTGCAAACAGAACCACGGCTCGACTCATTGAACAGATAAACCAGAGACCAAGTGCTAGTTGAGCTGTCCGAGGTCCCCGCAGAGCGCCCACAGCCGCCCGGCCGAGAGCCTCCGGGCGGGGTCCCAGAGCTGTCGCGCGCGTCGGAAGCGCGGATCCCCTCACACGCCCGCCCGCCCGCCCTCGCCCACCACTGGCCAGGTGCCTCCCGGACCTGCTGCCGCGCCCCTCCCAGCCTCACCCGGGGCCGGTTGCCGGTGTCTAGCTCGATGGCCCTGTTGGCCAGTTTCATGGCGCTTTGCAGTGGCTTCGCCGCGCCGTCCCCGGCCGCAGCGGCCATGGCGCCGGGCGGGGGAGGCCGCGGCGACAGGGGCGGGGCCGGCGCCTCCGAACCGGAACGTGGAGTGTGCGGCAGAGGGAGCTGCGGGAAGCGCACACTGCCGGAAGGGACCCGGACACACTTCCGCCTGCCCCGCCCCGCCGCGCAGAGCTAGGTTTAGCGATGAGAAGGGGCCGGGTGGGTCGTGTCAGCTTTTCAGAGCGTGCTCGCTCCGAGTCTGGACGAGAAGATTGGTGGGAAGAACCTCGTTGTGCGGTTCTCTGCTAAGTGCCACAGCTCGTGCCTCAGTCCGCGGTGGTTTACCCTCCCGGCCGCCCCTCCTTCATGGGCCTGTCGCGAGTTCTGCGCGACCCTAGGAACTCTGGGCTCTCGACACAACAGCGGCCACTGTCGCTCCCGGGCCGCTCCTCACTTCGCTCCACCCCTCTCAGATCGCGGTGAAGCGAGCGGAGCCGAGGAGCCGGGCGGAGGGCAGCCGAACCGCACTGAGTCAGAGGAGTCCAGTCCAGTCGAGCAGAACCCGGTGGGCCGAGCCACACCGAAGAGCACGGAGCAGCGATCAGGCGGCCGCCACCATGAAGCGGGACCGGCTCGGTCGCTTCCTGTCGCCTGGGACGGCTCGGCAGCGCGGGAGTTCGGGCGGCGGCTGTGGAAGCGGTCGGACTCGGGGCCGCCCTTCTCGCACCGGCGGAGCGAGCGCGGACGGGGCGGCGGCGCAACTCAGCTGGGGCTCGACGCGCTCTTGCGCGGACACAGGCGAGGACGGTACAGACGAGGCAGGTGGGTTCCGGGCGTCCTCTAGCCCTGATGGGAGCCTAGCGATTCTGAGAGCAAACCAGGCCTTCTAGTTCTGGAGGGCCTGGGTCCTCTCGCGTCTACTGCAATGACTTTTGGCCAGACAGCCCATCTTTTCCTGCCCTGTGTCGCTGCTGTTTGGTACTTAAGTTTTGAAGTCACACAGCTGTGGTTTTCAGGTCAGTTCTTCGGGCTGTGTACTCTTAGGGTAATTGCTTAACTTCTCTGAATCCCAGTTTCTTGTTGGTGAAAACAGACCCACAACCTGCGATGAGAACCAAGCTCCCTGTCTGCCTGGGAGTTCGTGTATAAGCAGCAGCGGTTAGGGCAACAGCATCAGTGTGTATCACATTTGGGTAGTGCTCCTCGACCATTCGAGAGTGACTTTTCCGTGCATGCTGTCCTTAGTCCTAGGGGCAGGCAATGAGGTGGTGGCATTGTCCCTATTCTGCAGACAGGACACCTAGGGAAGGACAGTTTCTTGCGGCACAGCTGAGGCACATTTTCAGGATAGGATGTGTGAGAAAAGTTACGTTTCATCTTCACTGGAGGCACCTGGGGTTCGTTGGAAGGAGCTGGGCGCAGTGGCATATGCCTGCATCCCAGCCCTTAGAAGGCCGAGGGAGAGGACTGTGAGCCCCAGCCTGGGCTACACAGGGAGACCTCAGCTCAAAAAAAATTTTGAAAGATTTCTTGACAGTAGCCCTTCCAAAGTTGAATGTTCAGTGAGGAAGGCCAGCTCCTGAGCCCTGCTGTTAGTGTGTTTGGGAAGCCCAGGGAGGGCAGTGCTCCGCTTTAGGTGCCGGGAGGCTAGTGGGCAGTGTGGTCCTCACACTGGGCGCTCCTTACTTACTGTCACATTTGCTTCTTTGCTCAGGAGCAGGCCGAACTTTTGCCATGGGGCACTGTCGCCTCTGCCACGGGAAGTTCTCCTCGCGGAGCCTCCGCAGTATCTCCGACAGAGTGCCTGGGGAGACCTCCGAGAGACTGTCCCCAGGGGAGCGTGTCTTCATTAGGGACTTTCAGCGTCTGCTGGGTGTTGCTGTGCACCAGGACCCGGCCCTGCCTCCGTTTGTCTGCAAGAACTGCTACACCCAATTCTATCAGTGCCACAGCCTCCTCAGGTCCTTCTTACAGAGAGTCAATGTCTCCCCAGCTGGCCAGCGGAAGCCTTGTGCAAAGTAGGCCCTTATTGGATTTCTTGGGACCTTCAGGGGTCATCACCATGTGTCCTGGGTGTTGATTTAGGGCAGTGACTTGTGGGGTGGACAAAAGCCAGCATAAGCCTCTCATGGTGCTACAGTGAGGTGCTGTGGTGGCGAGGTTTGCAGAGGTTTGAGGGTGAAGAGCTACCAATAGAAGAGAGGGAACAGGGCTGCCGGTAGAGGGTTCCTGGGGAGGTTTGTGACCTTGGGAGGCTCCTAAACTATGGCCACACTGATGCTTTGCAGGCTTGGTGTTCAGCCTCCCACAGTGGCCGAGGAGGGAACATGTATGGGTGAGTGCTGTTCATGCCAGGGTGGGCATTCCAGGTTGGGCCTAGTGTTGGCCACCATGAGACTGACCTCTCTGTTGATTCTCCTCAGCTGATCTGATCACCTCGAGCCCTCGGTGTCTGCACAGCTTGGTGGGCTGGGTACATGAACATGCAGCCAACTGTGGGTCTCTGCCCAGCCTTCAGAGGACACTGTCCTCTGAGTACTGTGGCATCATCCAGGCTGTGTGGGGCTGCGACCGGGGCCATGACTTCACCATGGACACAGACTCCAGCTGCAGAGCTCTCTTTTTGGACAGTGCATTAGCAGTGAAATGGGCATGGGGCAAGGAGAGATCACCACGGCTGGCCCAGAACTCAGAGTTGAACCCCACGGGAGCTGCCTCTCAGCTCTCCCAGACCGGAGAAACCCAAGTTGGATCTGAGACCAAGACACTACCCAGTGTGGATGTGGCCCTGCTGCACTCACATGGAGACTCTGTGGGACCTGGGATAGGCCCCTATACTCAGCCAAACTTGGCTCCCAGTGAGGCCCCAGGTAAGCAGTACCTGTGGCTTATGCTAGAACAGGATTCAGTATCCTGTCCAAGGTTGTCTTCCGCAGAAAGTGGACGTCTGTACTGTTTGGGAGTAGGCCAGGGTATAGCAGAGGAAGCTGGTAGGAGAAGATGGGGGTCCAGCCTCAGTGCTTTCCCGTAGGAACTGTGGCTGTTAGAGTACTTAAGGATAGGATGGTCCTAGCAGCCTGTCTTGACTTCTTGTTCCTTCACAAGCAGGCCTCTGATTCAACAGTTTCTGTAATGACACGCTCATCTGGCATCCGGTCTTCCTCTAAGCCTGTCCTTAGACCACAGGGTACTGGTTGTTCTCGTAGGCTGAGGGGACTGAGGGAGAGAGAAGAATGGGGTTATTGTCTGCAGGACATGGAGGCAGACAATGAGGCTGCTACTTTACCATAGTGTGGGCCAGTGTGGTAGCCTCGTCTGCTGACTGGCCCCTCTGTGGGGCTTGGACCCCACCCACACGTGCTGTGGGTTGGGTGCAGCTGTTCCTAGGCATCGTGTTGGGAGAGTTGGAGCCAGCTTCCTGCCTGCCTATTGCCTTCATATATTGGTTTTCATGGTCACTTACAGGTGCTTAGCTGGTTCCCACCTACAAATCCACATTGGGGCTCTTTGAAAACGCAGGAAAGAGGGTTGCCGAGCATAGTGGTGCACACATTTAATCCCAGCACTTGGGAAGGCACAGGCAGGCGGATTTCTGTGAGTTTGAGGCCCGCCAGGTCTACATAGAGTTCCAGGACAGAGCCAAGGCTACATAGAGAGACCCTGTCTCAAAAAAAGCAGGAGGGTTGAAGAGATGGCTTAGCAGTTAAGAGCACTTGTTGCTCTTGCAAAAGACCTGGGTTCAATTCCCAGCACCAACATAACTCCTGTTCCAGGGGTCTGAGGCCCTCTTCTGGCCTCTGCTGGTACCAGGCATATACACAGACAAAACATTTATACATTTAAAAAAAAAAAATGCAGGTACCCCTGTGGTTCAGGTAGAAATAAAAGAGATGGACTCCAAGCAAGGCCCTAGGAGGACGTCACAGACATCTTAGAATGTGATCTTAGAATGCTTGCTTTATAAGGTGTATGTATACCTCTTTTGATAACAGTAGCAGTAGCCTTTAAACTGTCATAAACTATCCAGAGTGGGCTTATTTTCACCTAGAACAATAACCTGAATCCGAGAAGGGTCGGCTTGCTGATATGGAGCCTCCTGTTCCTTTGGACAGAGACTGGCATAGTGAGTGTGGGGTGAGAATGGAGGAAACAGGGCAGAGGCCTTCTGGCCTCATAAGGAAGGCTGTGTCCTTAGGCAGGGACAGGGCCTCCTTACAGGTGAGGCCCTTCCTGTGCTCAGTGGTGGTAACCAGAGCCTGTTCTTTGTTTCCCAGGGCAACTGGGTGAGAAGCAGGTTCCATCTTCAACCTCGGATGATCGGGTAAAAGACGAGTTCAGTGACCTTTCTGAGGGGTGAGAGAAGAGTGGGTTTAAAAAGCCTAAAATTTCTCCTTCAAAAGTCAGACTCAGCCTCCCTAGAGCTGCTGCCCTTGGCTGGCATGTTTGCCTGCCCTCCTCAGAGGTGGGGAGGAGAGGAGTGGCCAGGGGAGTCCTGGGGCCTCTGGCTCCTGACGTGGCTTTCTGGTCCCAGAGGCACCCAGATGAAGAATACTGCAGGGAAACACAGTTCCTATTCTAACCCAGAGTGTTCTGGAATTGCCTCCTTTAGTTGCTCCAGGGTTGGTCCTTCCTGGTTACCTGTCTGCTTCCTTTTTAAAGGCCTTAGCTTGTGCAGCTCCAGGTGTCACTACAGCAGAGGATGCTAGATTCAGGCCCTTTGGATAGTGAGGTTGAGACTTGGAGTAGAAGCCCTGTGTGGGGTGAGGAGAGGACAGGCCTCCCTAGGAAGGGGCGTACCAGGGTCTGTTAGCTCTGGGCTGAGAACCACTCAGTTGGTGTTTGCCCTTCTGTCCTGCTTCATGGCCTAGACCGGGGTGCAGATGCACCGTCATCCAAATAGGGACAGACTGAATCTTGGTTCCACGTTTGTATCTCTGGGCTGTTAGACTGCCTGTAGCCTCAGGCCTAACCCCATCCAGATAGCTGGTGGCCTGTGGAGAACACCGTGGGCTGTTAGACTGCCTGTTTGCTGTTCAACACAGGCCAGTGATTCATGGTTTAGGGTGAAGGTCATAACCGTTTGTTGTTGTTGTTGTGAACTTTGAAATGGCTAACAGCTTGCCTGTGTTCACAGTTGATGGGTGAACAGTTCCTTTCTGAATCTGCCTTTAAGTCTTCACACTCCCGGGCTGTAAATAAATCAGCTGTTGTAGAGTTTGGGGTGTCAGTATTAGCAGAGTGGCTTACAGGGAGGGAGGATTGCTAGCTTGTTTGCTTTGAGTGAGTCTGGCTTGTCCTCCTGTCAGGACATAGACTAGAGTTGGGGATTTTAGATTTCTTAAGACATGTTCAGAAGCAAAGCCTGGGCTATGGGGGCTGTAGCACCTAAAGACAGGAGGTCATGTTGGGTTGTTGCTCACCCAGGTCAGTGCTTTGCTGACAGCTCTCTCACTTTCCTAGAGACTTCCTGAGTGAAGATGAGAATGAGAAGAAGCAAAACCCACAGTCCTCGGATGAGTCCTTTGAGCCTTACCCAGAAAAGAAGTAAGAGTATAGCCCTGTCTAAGCCTATGATGTCTAGAGTGATGTTGTACAGGTTAGCCTGGGTGCACATGGGAATCTTGAGTGTTTAAAAATGGGATATGGAGGCCCATGCTGGCCTCAGTCCTTTCCTTTGGCCCCATCTCCCAATGCCAGTGAACATGGCAGCTTCTTTTTTTCTTTTTATTGCACTTAATGTATTTATTCGTGTGTGTGTGTGTGTGTGTGTGTGTGTGTGTGTGTGTGTGTGTGTGTGTGTGTTGCACATGGGGAAGTCAAAGGACCACTTCCACTGGTTCTAGGTATCAAACTCAGGTGCCTTTCATCTGCGGAGCCAGCTCAGTGGCTTCTAAATGAACCAGGAGGTCTGTTTGAAAGGCCAGGTGAGCAACTGAATATGATAGGATCCCCTTGACCTTTGGCCACCCTTTTTGGTGGGTTGGGGACCTGGTCTAAATGTGTATCACAAGGCGGCAGGCAGCCCTGTTGGTAAGACACAGCCCCATTGTAGGGAGTATCTTAGTTGTTCTTTTCCAGTCCGTTCCTAGTGTCCTTAGCATTGTCCTGGCCCTGCTCTGTTCCTTTTGATCTAGGATCAGGCCTCTTCTCAAGTCCAGGAACTCAGCCTTGTGACCATTTTCAAGTCAGCCCTTGGCTCTGATTTCTTTGTCCATTCTTTGTTAAGCCTCTTGTGTGGCTTTCCCCTTTCTCCAAACAAACATAGGATTCTAACAAGGAGAGACAGAGTTTTCACTTGGGTCTCTTTCCTCTTAGCCCTGTGCCAAGAAAACCCGCATACCCAATAACTAGTTAGTGACTGCCTCATTGTCACAGTGCTCTGAGGATTTCACAGTTCAGAGTGAAAATCCCAAGAGCAGCTCTGGGCACTACACTGTCAGCTAAGAACACCCTACAAAAAGACTGAGAATTTCTTGGTTTCTTTTTTTTTTCTTCTTCTTCTTTTTTTTTTTAATGTAAGTTCTAATATTTCTTATGGGAAGAGAAACAGAAACAAAAGGAGAGCAGAGATCAGAATGGGGAGATCGGAATCAGAATATAATACCAAGCCACGTGGCCTCAGCAAGCCTCACAGGACAGAGCGCTGTCTGGAGACCAACAATGAATAGCCCTAGGAAAGCATGGCCAGATTGCAGGCTCCGCTGCCGCCAGGAAGCCCTCTTCCCTTTCTAGTGACCTCCACCTCCAGCCACTTTTGTAGGTGGTTCGGAGGGTTAGTGGGTTTCATTTTCAGAAGAAGGGGGACGTGGTTGTTCTGCTGAGCCCCTGCTGCTGAGATGTGAACAGCATGCTCAACTGTGTACTTGTCTCACTAAAACAAGTGAAGATAATATGCTTTGGGTGGGACATATGAGATACATTTGAAGACATCTTTAGTAAAATGAACTATTTTAGTGAGAACTGTACTTTGCCTGAACGCTTCTTTGTTTTCAGACATTATAGTGAGGCACATCTGGGGATTTTTTTTTTCCCCCTAAGACAGGGTTTCTTTTTCTTTCTTTTTTGGTGAAAGGGTTTCTCTGTATAACAGTCCTGGACCAGGCTGACCTTGAACTCACTGAAATCTGCCTGTCCCTGCCTCCCAAGTGCTGGGATTAAAGGCATGCGCCACCACTGCTTGGCTGAGGCAGGGTTTCTCTGTATAGTCCTGACTATCCTGGAACTTGCTGTGTAGACCAGGATAGTCTTGAACTCAGAGATTCACTTGCCTCTCCTTCCCGAGTACTGGGATTAAATGCATGCACTACTTCTGCCTGGCTTCAGCTGGGGGTTTTAAAAATAGTTTTTATGTGTATATGTGTGTGCCTGAGTTCACGTATGTGTACCAAGTGCATGCGGAGCCCTTGGAGGTCAGAAGAGGGCATCAGATCTCCTGGACCTGGCATTATAGATAGTTGTGAGCTGCCATGTAGGTGGATGCTAGGAACTAAACCTGGGTCCTTTGCAAGAGTATCAGGTACTCAGCAATCTCTAAGCCATCTCTCCAGCCCCACAGCTGAGGACTTTTGAAGACAGGGCGTCAAGAAACCCTTGGTCTCTGTGCCTACTCACATATTTGCCTCTTCAGCCTTTTCTTTTAGCCTTGAGTTCTGGCTGGCTGGGTAATCATCCTGAATGAGTAACAGCTTCAGGAATGGACTGGTCAGAACACTGTGGTTCAAAGCAGAGAACACCTGAGTTTAGACAGGGCAGTCAGATAGGATTGGAAGTATTTACCTATGACACATACGGTACAGACTCTAAACACAAGTAGTCTAGTGTGCAAGGCACTCACTGCCTGAAAAGGCTATCCCACTCAGCCAGGAGATAGGTTTTGTGTTTGAGATCCTATCATACTACATATAGCTCCGGCTGAATTCCCTATGCAACTCAAGCAGGACTTGAAGTTCTGATCCTTTCTACCCCAGCTTCCTGAGAGCTAAGGTGTGTGCCACCATAGGGGGGCCTGCCCCCACTTTTTCCCAGGGTACTCCTGAGCAGGGAGAAATGAGGAGGAATATGTGGATAGAAATACAGAGGAGAGAGACAGTTAGAAACATAGGGAGAGCCTCAGGAGAGTCTGGGTCAAAACCCACCAGCTCCTTTTGTCTCTGCTAAAGGGCTTTTAAAGGAATGCCAAGGGGTGGAGCAAAAGACCTCCCCCCAGCACAGCCAAGTGCAGACCATCTCAGATACCCGGTGACAATGCACATGGTCAAGCCATCCCTAACGCAGCCCTGCTATGTAAAGCAAGCTCAGATCTAACTAGGAAACTTTTGTGGGCTCCCACATCTGTGTAGCTGACAGTGACCTTGAACCTGACCCCCCAGGTGCTAAGATGGAGTCTGTGTATCCCTGGCTGGCCGGAACTTTTTGTGTAGATCAGGATGTCCTAAAACTCAGAGAGCCACATCTGCCTTTGTTTTCTGAGTGTTGAGATTAAAGTGTGTACCATTATGCCTGGCCTTAATTTTTAAAAATTAACCATTTGTTTTAATTATTTTTTAAAGGTTTATTTAGTTTTATGTATATGGGTGTTTTGCATGCATGAGTATCTGTATGCCACATGATTGCAGTGCCCTCAGAGATCCAAAGAGGGTGTTGGATCCCTGGAACTGGACTTACCAATGGTTGTTAGGTGCTATGTGGGTACTGGGAATTGAACCTGGGTCCTCTGCAAGAGCAACAGCAAGTATCTTAACCACCGAGGCATCTTTAGTATCAGGACAGCTTAGACTACATGAGACCCTGCCACAAGCACCAACAAAAACCTTGTTTGGCTCATCTCTGTCTCCAAAAGTTCTATGTTGAATTTCAGTTGGGCTTTCTATTTCTGCCTCCCAAAAAAAGGTCACTTGCATTTTTATTTATTTATTTTTGCCATCCTGGAAATTGAACCCAGGGCCTTGCATATGCTCAGTAAACAATGAGCTGTACTTTCCAGCCTTCTGTTTTATTTATTTATTTATTTATTTTGTTTTTGAGATAAGGTCTTGCTTTTTTGTTCGTTTCTTTTTTAAGACAAGGTTTCTCTGTGTAACATCCCAGGCTGTCCTGGAACTCACTCTGTAGATCTTCCTGCCTCTGCCTCCTGAGTTCTGGGATTAAAGGTGTGTGCTTCTTTGCTCAGGCAGCTTTGAACTTGTGATCGTCTCATCCTCCAATACTGGAATTATGAGCATGTGTTACCACAACCAATTTCTACTGTGATTTTGACAGATTTCAGTGAAATCTGTAGATGGCTTGGGTGGACTGTATTGGAATTTTTGCCCATTGTATTATGGTTCTGTAAAGGAACAGAATGAATATATACTAAAAGGAGATAGATTAGATTGGCTTACGTGATACAGTCTGAGTAGTCTAACAATGGCTGTCTTATACTGGAGAGGGCGAGAACTGAGCAGTTGCCCAGTCCTAACCTGGTGTTGAAGGCCTGGAGGATTCCTGGATAGCCACGAGTCTTCAGTCCGTGTTGGAAGCCTGAAGAAGCTGGGTTCTGGTATCGGCAAAGGAATGCAGCAGCAGTAGTAGAATAGATGAACTTGCTACC